GGTTTTATTTATTGCATGGGTATATAAAATGTCCTGATTTGTGAGAATAAAATTTACAAATTTAATCAGTTTCTGCAGCAATTTTGTCACTACATTTGTACAAGATTTAATTTTTTTGAAATTTGGGAAATCTAGATAGCCACTACAAAATGAAACCCCTCAACTGTATTAGTCATATGAATTCATTTTTACTTTAAATAATTTTATAGGATATTTCAACTAGAACTGGTAATCTTCCTCCACCACGTCCTGTTACTGTTACATTAGAAATTGTGTCATATATTGGTGTGTGTCTCTCACTATTAGGACTAGTACTAACAATACTAACATTACTGATATTCAAGTTTGTTTATATTATTTTTGTCAGTTTAATTTATCATTCATTAGGTCATTAAGACAGAGAGATGCTAGCAAGTTTCACATTCAACTCTGTCTCTCATTGATTTTCATGTTAATAGTATTTGTTGCTGGTATTGATAGAGTATCAGTGAGAGCTGGTTGTATAACAGTTGGTGTTCTCATTCATTACTTTGCTCTTGTATCATGGATGTGGATGGGAGCTGAGGCTGTACTAATGTTCCAGAAACTAGTCATTGTATTCACAAATTTAACATGGAAATATTTTCTGATTGTCTCTATAATATGCTGGGGTAAAGTAATTGTTTCAGCTGCAAAATAATAAAATTATCTTTAACTTTGTATTTTATAGGCCTTCCATTGCCGCCTGTTGCAATAGTGCTATCAGTAGATGTGGATCATTATATTACATTTTATGAACACACTGAAGAAGGATTGTAAGTTAACAAAGAGAGTAAACTTGTATTTCTTATTTGCCATGTAGTTGCTTTCTGGGACAATTAAACATATTCCTAACAGCTTTTTTTGTTCCTGTTATGATCATCCTTATACTTAATTCCATCATTTACATACTTGTTCTTTGTCTTCTTATTTTACATACTCTGAAGAAAAACAAACGGCTACAAAAATCAACAATGAAACTATCACAAGCAATCAAAATGTTACTCTCTTTCACTGGAATAATGCTCCTCTTTGGTTTGACATGGATATTTGCTGTGTTCACATTTATCTCTGAGCCTGGAGTCTCTTATACTGTGCAGTTCTTCTTTGCTTTCTTCAATGCTTTTCAAGGGTTCTTCATTTTTGTGTTTTTCATCGTGTTAAGCAGCGATTCAAGAGCAGCATGGAAATCCCTTTTGTATCGATGCATGATGAACAATGAGCAACAAACATCAAAATATAACCTGTCTTCTTTGAATAGCAAAAAGAAGAGGTTTCCTAACTCTAATACTCATTCTTCATCAGAGACTGGTAATGAAAGGTTTCTTCCTTCTCTGTCTAAAGAAGACAATGTGTCAGCTAGTCTTGCTAGTCAAGAGAAAAAGAGTGATGATTTGGATTTGGTACAACTCAAAGGAACTCACGAAAAATCTGATTCGACTTCTACACATGAATGCTCCTCACTTTGAACAAGTTGACATATATGATAGTGATGATGATGGCTTTGATAATTTAATATTTTTTGGCTACACTTAATATTGCTGCATTTTTAGTTTGTTAATCTTCTTAAGAATAATTTTAGGTTAATCATAGCATAGAATCATTAGTATGCATGAGTCTAAGAATCCAAGCTTGTGAGCCATGAATGTGCATAAGCTGCTAACTTCATTTAAATTGCAAATATTACTTATCTTCATACATGACGTACATATGTACATATATAAAGTTGTAGATCTAGATGTATTTTGATTATCAAAATTAACTCTTTTGTAAGTGTTCCTCTACTATACCATAGGTATCTGTTTTTTTATGGCTATTTTACTATAATTATGATTGATGTTAATTAATGGGGCACTATATTAGAAGGTATATTAATGGGGCACTTGAGAGTGGTGATACTTTGCCAAGACAAAGAGCCACTGTCTCTGGTAATTATTTGTATCGCAACTAGTACTTGTGGATCTGTTGCCAACACTACTTTTATCAAAGGTCTCTTAAAAATTTATTTATACAAATCTAAATTGCATCTACATAGCATTATCACTTTTGTAGCTGAATCTGTGATACAATCAGTGTCAAAGGCAACATTTGTATCAGAATCTACTGTTGTAATGGCATAATTTACAATAATTGATTATATTAATTTTACACTGACTAGGCCCAAGAAAATTAATTTGTCAAGTAAAGACAAAAATGAAGATACTCCAATGCAAGCTTGTGAGCCACATGAGCTGCACAGGTTGTAACTTATTATATTGTTCTTTAACTTAAATGCATTTTGATTGTTAGAATTATAGACTCTATACTATTATTTTGGGAGTTCTTTAAGCTTGACTATGCATGTACATGATTGGCATTAGAAAGCTTGGTTGATTCACCACTGACTGTTTGAAATAAAAATTTATAAAAATAGGGAAAACAAGACACAAGCACAAAAAGTCTTTTAAAAGTCTGATTATTTCTAACACTACACTACTAAAAATGACACTCTTATCGGTACACTTCCATGCACCACATCTACATATTAAAGGCAACTATAATCAAAATAAAGAGAAGGACCCAATTTCCAATGGCACTCCATCCTGAAGAAGGCGATC